AGTCCTAAATATAAGACTCAAATTTACTTTGTCCCTCATAGTTATACATTTTTCCCAGAATAGTCCTTATAATAATAGTGGTTCTAACTAATATACTTGATTAGTAAGGATATTTTAGGAAAGACAATACCTATTTAGGAAAGACAACACTTATTTATTACAAATAACTAACTTAACTTTTTCTTAACCTACTCAAATTAGTCAATTAGCTCTTATATTTAGAGCCGGAGGTAGTATTTACTGCCAATGATATCATACTCATGGAATGCTTGTGAGTGGATAACTGTCGTGTGTATATTGTTATTTCCAATCACAGAAATTTGCTCTGGACACGGTGTCAATTACACAGGGATAAGTCAGTACGTTATATTACATGCACTTTACAATCTTTAAAACTAAAACTTCCCGTCTCTCTGCTCTCTTTTACTTCTTTCTCTCAACAAGAAAAGACATGCAACAGTCATTTAGAAAGTTTGTCCCGATGACATAAAGACTCACGTAGGGTAAGAAGTCATGGATTAGAGATAATACTCTCCATCATCCAGCAGTCAACGTAACAGTTTTTTCGGTTATAAGTTACAGAAACCTAAACTCAAACACCTTGCCTGCACTCTCCATAAAACGCATATTCCAGGAACTGCCAAGCTAATATGAGAAGCAAACATTCTGTAAACCCAATAAACGGAGAAATCGAAGCTCAAATAAATCGAGATTATATACTTCGTAGATGATCAAACTCTTCCTGCAGCCACAATAACTTAAAATTGGACTAATAAGCAAATTTTTGCCCAAAACTTAAGAGTCTACAGCTTTAGCAGAAATATAAATTAGATGAAGTGGCACGTGCAAAACGAACTAGTCTATATGTAATCCTTGTCACATCAGAACTTGCTATACAATAAAACGAGAGTATTTAATTAAGTCTCACATCATTCGACGACGTACGATCCACGACTCTTAAGTATTTTCAACAAGGTGAGGTGTTTTGAGTAGAAACATTTATGCGATGCTACTATTCAACGCATGGAATTATTTTTGTTTTTGTTTTCCTTTTCATTCAGCTTATAGGATATGCTCCCCCAAAAAGAAGTTTAGAAATGCAGTTTATATATAAGTTTCAAATGTCAGCCTATAATTGAGCCATGAATTCAAACTAAAGAATTTTGTTTGAGTTGAAATTTTCGTATGTTTTTACTAAGGACAGTATCGAGATAATATTGTTTGAGATACTATCAGGCATTAAATATTAACATTTTTGTCAGCAAAGTTTCGAATATTACACAATAAGGTGGGATTGCACCTTGTGGGCATATATTATCAATATTAATATAGAGTATAAAGTCTATAATAAATCGCTCTATTAAAATATATATGAAAATTTAATTTTTCAATCTATATAGTTGTGATTCAGTTGTAAATCAATTGTTGAACTTCGATTCAATATAATTCAATCATTATAATTTTAACTTAGTTACAACTTAGTTTTTATAATTTTTACTATTTAAAATATTATTCCTTGTAAAGACCAAGTTTAACTGAATTATATAACTGAATCAAAGTTGAATAACTAATAGTTATAGCTAAGTTAAAATCATGAAAAGTTGAATAACTAATAGTTATAGCTAAGTTAAAATCATGAAAAGTATAACTTCTCCGAATATACACAATGTCAAGTTGGGTTTCTCGAAGACAAGTCGTATTAGGTAGCACGTGATGGTAGGATCGGAGGGGACCTACCCAAATTTTTTTTTTGGGGAAATTGTTTAAAAAATTTATATTTATAAATTAAATTATATATTTCTATGTCAAACTTGGATATTTATAAATCAAACTTTTATATTTACAAGTGAATTTCATAAAACTAAAAAGAAATAAATTTATTGTGATCTTTCTATGTTAAATTTTCTTACTTAGAATTTATGCGTAATTTTTTTTACATTTTTTTAATATAATGCAATTAATAACTAGAAAATTAAATATTATTTTTACATGCCATCAAATAATCGAATATTGTCCATTGAAAGAGAAATAATTGGACTTCATTTTCTTTGTCTGACAAGTATATATACAAGTCAAGGGCAATTTTTGGTTATAAAGGATTATTATGTTTTTCTAATTATTTGATATTCAATATTAATTATCTAATTGAATGGGCAATAACTATTTTAGTCAGAAAGTTTAACTTTAAAATATTATTTAAAAGATATCAAGTAGTTACAATAGGAAGTTGTATTTGAAAAAAATTTTAGGGCTCAAAAGTAAGGGCATAAACTTTGATATTAACAAATTCAGCATTTTGTGGTTACATTCAAAATTTCTAACATTTTAAATGTACAAAAGGATGCACCACATATCGTTCAAAGTTGAAGCAGTAGAATATTATAGAAACAGTAAAAAGATACTCATTTGATTCTTAATCTAAGATCCAGTTAACTAATTTGAGTAAATTAAGGGTGTTAGTTAAATTAGTTGATGTGACATGTTTTTTTTTCTAAAACACCTCTAATAATCTTAATTCCCTCCCTCCTACTTAATTATTGTTAAGAGAATATTAATAGTTAATTGAAAAAAATTGATAAACATGTAAAATAGGTCTTACACATATGGAACCAACATCAACTCTCAAATTAGATCTTACATTAAGGACCAGAGGAGTATTCTTTTATGGCCAAAAAAAGTTTTTTTTTTAAATTCAATATTTTGTAATTACATTCAAAATTTCTAACACTATACTCCTCCGATTTTTAATGTAGGATCTAATGGGGGAGTTGATGTTGGTCCTATATATATGTAAGACCTATTTCACATCTTTATCAATTTTTTTTCCAAATTAACCCTATCGATATTTTTCTAATAATAATCAAATAGGAGAAGGAAGGAGAAAATTAAGGAAGATACTTAAAGTGTTTTAGAAAACATATATCATATTAACTAATTTAATTAATATTCTTAATTTACTCAAATTAATTAATTAGATTTTATATTAAGAACTGGAGCAGTATAAATATATATATGTTTATTGGGGGGGGGGAAGAGTTGTTATCTTTTCAGTTGTTAACAGACATTCAAAGTTAAAGCAGTCAATTAATAAAGTTAACCTTTTTTTCCCCCAAAAAAATGATGCTAGTTGGAAGAGTTATATTGTTCGCGATATTTCAACCATCTTAAATTCTTAATAGTAACTTCACCAACAAATTGATAATTTTGTCACGTATTAATATTCATAAATCTCCATATGTTGACAACATACAAATTTTCACACAATAAATAATGCAAATTAAAAGGTGTTCACTTTGTAAAAATCGTTTTGGCAGAATACATGTTTCATCTTTTCTAAGACTTTCAAATTAATTGAATTCAGCTGCTAATTACAGCTCAATTATTATTATTTTTTTTAAAAAATTTTAATTGACTAATTGAACGAACTCATCATTAGTTGCACTCTTAATTAACTAGGTACATCATCTTTTTTCCCCCCACAATAAAGTAGTGAAATACAAACAATTTCATGATCAATTTTAAGCTCTAGGGTTTGCATGTGCATGCCTAGTTTGATTGACGTGCTTTAAAATATGTAGTTTTTTTTTTCCCGTAATAAGTATGTGACTCAGATAGTGGGCATATGTATGCCTTTTTTCTTCACTTTAATTTTCACTGATGAAAGCATGTTTAATAATTCAAAGATATTTAATTAGGAAACATTAATTATATATTTTGCGCAGGCATATCTGGTACGACCAACGCGCATACCCACGATGTGTGATTTTCTTTTGTTTTGACTGACTTGGTTGATTTTGTAAAACACATTATTAAACTCTTAAGTATGTAATTTTTTTAAACTTTTTATTTTGTTTGCCATTGTCTAGATGAAACGAATTTGAAAACTTGCTAAGTATATATACACATTCTTGAACTTGATTACAAATTATATGTATCAATTTTTTTGGATTGAATTGCGAAAAAAATTCATAACACCAAGTGCATATAGTTAATAAACAAGAACGAAAATTCAATTTTGATTCGTTTTGAAATCTTGGCTTTTTAATTAATAGAATGTATAGATTTATTCAGTACTAAGACACACACACACACACACACACAGAGACAGACACACACATATCATATGAACCATCAGAATTTTCTCAAAATAACTAATATTTCCTTGTCCAAAAATAACATCTGATTCCACAAAATTAATTTGCCGGTACATTTTATTTTATACATGGAATTAATCAAAACAATGTCAAAAAGATTTTATGAGTAATAAATTGTAATTCAATGTAGATTATTTTAATTGTAAGCGCCATTTTAATCTTTTTGGTGCAAAACAAAATGGTACTCCCCTCCAATCTTTATTATAAGCTTTAAATAATTAATTTACATATAATGAAAACTCAGTTAAAATTAGTTAAAAGTAATAATATATATATTTTTTGTTTCCAAAGATATCCGTATATTAAATGAGAAAAAATAAAAGAAAATAAATGAAAAAATGTGATAAAATAGAGTATAACAATTAATTTATATGGATATTCGTTGCTGACTAATTAATTTATATTTTATGAAAATAGCAGTCTAATGTTCAAAATAATACCCCACTCGCATTATAAATAGCCTAAGCTTGCAAAGTAATGAATCACACAGCAATCTTCTCTCTCTCTCTCTCTCTCTCTAGATCCGTTTAGTTCTATCTCTACTTTCATTTCAATCCATTAATATTATGGCTCCGCCTACTACGACCAGTGATTCAAACCAGAACTACGACAGAATGAAAGAGGTGAAGCAATTCGATGAGTCCAAGGCCGGAGTTAAAGGCCTTGCTGATGCCGGCATCACCACTATCCCTGCCATGTTCATTAACCCCCCGGAAGTTTTAGCCACCCTCAAAACCTCTCCCTTCACTGGCGCCGAAATCCCCACCATCGACCTTGCCGGCGTTGACTCCCCGGACCGTCGCAGTGCCGTGGTGGAGCAAGTCAAGCGTGCAGCCTCCACCGTCGGCTTCTTCCAGGTTATCAACCACGGTATCCCGGTTGAAGTCCTAGACCGGGCCATCGCCGCCATGAAGGCCGTCCACGAGCTGCCGGCGGAGGTCAAGGCTCCACTCTTTAAGAGAGAGATGGAGGGAGTGTCTCTCAGGTCAAACATGGACTTGTACCATTCAAATGCTGCATACTGGAGGGACTCACTTCTCATACGGTTCGGGCCGGTCCCGATCAACCCGGAGGAGATCCCGGAGGTGTGTCGGGAACGGCTGATTGATTACAACGAGAGAACTCTGCCGGTGAAGGATCTGTTGCTGGAACTGTTGAGTGAAGGTTTAGGGCTGAGCAGAGGAAAGTTTAAGGAGCTGACATTTGGAGAAGCGGTGACTCTGTCGGGTCACTACTACCCGTATTGCCCTCAGCCGGACCTCACGATCGGGTTCCGATCGCATACCGATCCGGGGATATTGACGTTGCTGCTGCAGGACAGCATGGGAGGGCTTCAGGTGAAGTACAAGGAAGGTTGGGTTGACGTGAAACCTGTTCGTGAAGCCCTAGTTGTCAACATCGGAGATTTGCTTCAGGTATATCTATCTATCTTTCTATATATGCATATATACATATATATATTCGACTTTACTATGTTAAAAACCATGTTCTCACTTACAATTTAATTAGTTGCGTGCAGTTCAATATAGATAATCATACGTACTGCAAATTATGAGATTAAGTTTGATTTAGTATTATGTTTAGTGGACGTAAAATACGACTTGATATCCCATTTAATAGTGTAGTGACTATGACACCTTCGAAGAAGTAAAGACTTCTAAAAAAAAAAGTTATTGGGTTTTAATTAATATATATAATATCACATTTTAACTGTAAAATATCATATGTTTCCCGCTATAAGTAATAAAGTAAACTCTAAATTATCAGAACTAAGGCTTAGGTGATATTAAGAGTCCAGGTCTATGGAGACTGTAGAAAGATAATACTACCTCCGGTTCTTAATATAAGATCCCGTTTGACTTTTTGTTTGGTCCTAATTATAAGACCCCAATCTATTTTTTCTCTCATATTTATGCATTTTTTTCCAAGATAGTCCTTCTAATAATGATAGGTCTAGCCAATACACTTAATTAGCAAGGATATTTTAGGAATGACAACACTTATTTATTACAAATAACTAACTTAACTTACTTCCTTAATCTCCTCAAATAAGTCAACTGGGTCTTATAATTAGGACCGGAGGTAGTATTATAGTAGTGTGTGTGTATATATATATAAAATGAAATTTAAAGTGGGTGATTAATTAACTAAATTGGACAGATAATATCGAATGAGAAATACAAGAGCGTGGATCACAGGGTGCTGGCAAGTAATCGCCGAGAGGCCAGAGTTTCCATAGCGACGTTCTTCAACCCGGGAGCTGCAGAGAACGTGTATGGGCCTCTGGAGGAGCTGACGTCAGCAGGGGACCCACCTCGCTATCGACGTGTCACCTACAAGGATTACATGCACAAGTTCTTCAACAAGCAAGTGGATAACAGGTCTCAGACTGATTACCTGAGGATATAATAAATCAATCAATGAATAAATAAAAGAACTCATCTAAATAATACGTAGGATCTTCACTCTTGATGAGTGATATAATAATTTAGGAGACATAAGTTAATTTACCATATATGTATCGCACTGCTCTACGAGGTTGTCGACTTGTCGATCGTGTTTTAGTAATAAGATGGTAATGGCCGTCATGTATCTGAGCTTACACACGTACGCACGCTTCTGTACAAAACTCTGTATTACTTTCGTCTTTAATATAAGAGCTTGTTTGACTTTTATTTTAATCCTAAATATAAGATCTAAGTCCACTTTGTTTTTTATATTTATTTATTTTTTCTAAGATAGTCATTGTAATAATAATAGTTCTAGCCAATGCTCTTAATTAGTAAGGATACTTTAAGAAAGAAAACACCTATTTATTACAAAGAACTAACTTAACTAATTTTCTTAATCTATTCAAAGTAGTTTACTAGCTCTTATAATAAGAACCGGAGGTAGTACCTTTTATCATAAATATAAGATTAATTAGATCTTATATTTAGGGTTGGAGATTTTATTGATTAAAAACTTCCAAACAAATTAGTTTATTTGGGTGTCTCTACATATAAAAATAACTACATTGTGTACAAAGCAAGGGACTGATGCAATAACATGAATGATATATGATAGTTTGAGAATGTATACGCACAAACAATGGGAGATATTGGGATAAAAATATAGAATAATGCCACTCCGGTTCTTATTATAAGTCATGTATTGTGGGGAAATTTTTTTTAATCTGAATTATAAATTACTTGTAGGATATTTAATGATCATTTTTCAATTTCACCTTTGTTTAATTCTCATTAGAAAAAAAAAAAAAAAGAAAGAGGAGAAATATGTGAGAATGATTTATAAATGCATGGAGAGAAATTTTTTTAATAAAGCTAAATTTTTTTAAAAAATTATCAATTTAATGCATTTCCTGACATAAGAGAATAAGGTAAAACCATATAATTGACTTAGATTAGAGTGGTATTCATCCATTTATAAGTATAAATACATTAGAATGACTAAAAACTCAATAAAATATTCCATATATTAATCTACAAACTTCCAATCAAACCTGTTTTTTTTTTTTTAATTAGTGTTGAACCAGTAAAATCACTTCATTAATGTTCTATTGATAGGAGCAATATGATATCTTTTTCCAAGCAAAAATAAAACAAAAGAAATCTAAAAGTGAGAAATATCAAAATACATTGATGGTAGAGAATATTGCCTTTAAGGTTTCAGCGAATATATCCAATGGAAGAATTAGCATATGTAAAATACTCAGATCTAGTTTCGTACTTTGCCAAATTCTCCAATCACATAAGGTTATGTAGCCTTTTTTTTTTTTCATGTGAAATAGGACATGTTGCATTGTGTGATTGGAGAAGCTGACATAATAAATATAAGAAACTTAAGTTATTGTCTTCACCGGATGGTTCCTATACAAAAAATAAAACTTGTATACCTTAAACACAAAATGCAAATTAATAATTTTTGTGTGATTAAAATTACAATGAACTTTATAAGACAGATATGTACGTAAGACATTATCTTATCACTAATAATTAATTATTTACTTACTGTTCAAGTTAAGATTTATCTCTTAAAAATAGTCAATCTCTTATAATTGAATTGGTAAACGGTAATTAATCTTACCTGATCACATGCATGACGGATAAAAACATGCCAACGTGTATATACTGTGGTACACGAAATTGATTCGATCTCGTAAATTGTATTAATCTCAACAGAATGATGTATTTTGAGTTGACCTAACTTCATATCTCTATTTTGGTAAAAAGTAGCAGACATAATGCTCCTAAAATAATCTCTGTTAGCATAGACAAAAGTTGCAAGGCTCAATATAATCCTTATTGGTTATTGTTGGTGGCTCCATCAAATCTAACACATATACTTTCACAAACCATAACTTTATTACTCCTCCGGTCCTAAATATATATAAGATTTACTTTTGTAGTGTAATTTATACTATAAAATAAGTCTTATATTTAGTATTAATTAGTGAATCATGTAATTTTCATGATGCCAAAAGTAATTTATATATGGATATAATAATGATAGTCAGAACTCAAGACAACCCTTTTCAATCTTTGCAAGAAATTATATTATGATTCAAAGAATTTTAATGAGCTGGCCTCTAGAAGAACTCGGACGTCATCTATGGATTCTTTACAGGAATTCAAAATGCAATAATTCCATATAGATATACTCCCCTTATCTTTAATATATGACCTAATTGTGGAGTTGATTTTAGTCCTAAATGTAAGATTTATTTATTATATTTACCAGTTTTTACTAAATCACTCCTAGTAATGCTCCCTCAACCATAATCAAGTAGGAGAAGGAAGAAAGATATTAAGGAACATGATTAAGTTGTTTTAGAAAAAACATATCATATTTATTATAATTAACTTACTTAATTTTCTTAATATAATCAAATTAGTTAAATAGGTTTTACATTAAGGACTGAAAGTTCGCCCGTATATAACCTATATTTTGTGAAATATAACTTGATTTTTTGGATAACAGAAAAAGGCCTTGATTACTTCATGATCATAATTAATATGTTTAAAGAGAGCGACAGACAACTACATATGCGGAAAGTTTAGATCCTTGTACTCATCATTTTTCTTTTAAATTTTTAATATCTATCTTTTCAAATATCTGTACCATATTATTTTAATTTGCTATGTATTGCGAACATAGAGATCTAGTCATCTAGATAATTGCTTGGTTGGTTTCATATATAGTTTTAATGGGAAATGGGATATACAAGGCAAGGCCATGATCAAGTGTGTGTGAGAGAGAATAAGCCACTCTTTTTTTCCCTCCCCCCTCTTTTTCAATTATTAATATCCCTTTCTATATCTAAGGGTGTGTTTGGTATGAGGGATTTGGAAGGGAGGGGAGGGAGGGGAAGGATTTTAATCATTTTTTTTTGTTTAGTAACACATAAATTTTAGGAGGGGAGGGAAAATTTTAAAAAAATTTCCTCCCCTCCCCTCCTCGACCTCCTCTTCAAAATTGGGAGGATTTGGAGGGCAAATGTAATATTCCACCATGTTGTGACCATTATACTCATATTTTGTCATGTTATGACCATTATGCCCATATCTTAAATAAAATAAGGGCAAAATTGTCCATGTTAAAGTATTTTTCCCTCCCCTCCCCTCATGAACCAAACAAGGTAATATTAGAACTCCTCCCCTCCTCTCTTTTTTTATAAATCCAAATAAGGTAATATTAAAATCTTTTCACTCTCCTCCCCTCCTCTTCCCTCTATTAAAATCCCTCCTCTCCCCTTCCTTTCATTGAGCGAAACAGACCCTAAAAGTTTTCTACTTCCGATTCAGTGGATATAACACTGACATATCTTCCTATCCATATGATGGTCAAACACATTATGCTAGCTAGTTTGCATAAGATTTGGCTTCTATAGACATAAAACATGTGATTATAAGTGATTAAACAGTTTCACATGATGATGCTCCTTATCTCACTAATGACACTTCGTTCGATCTTAAATATAGAAACTAGTTAATTAATTTATAAAGATTAAAAAAAGTAATTAAGTTTGTTGTTTGTTTAAAAAAATGTGTTGATATTTTTAAGATACCCTCCTCAGTCATCTTTCTCATCAGAAGTTTATTCGTTAATTAAGTATTAATTAAATATAATTTTTCTATTGTTGTTCAGTATGATTGTTAAGTTCCAGTTATAGTCTGGCCAATTTGTTAAGATAAACTTGTTTAATTCAAGTGAACATGAAAAAGACTTGATTTTCATGTCCATCCATAGAACGTCACCTTCTATAATAAAAAAAGTTGACCAAGAACGTGTCAAGTACACACATTCTTGAAATCAATTACGAATTATGTTCCAACTTTTAGTTACTAATTAAATTATCTAGAAGACTCATAACAGCGCTAGCACATACCAACATAAGAAACAAGAATAAAAATTCAATTTAGATTCATTTTGAAATCTTCACTTTTTAATTGAAAGATACTCGGGTCGTAGTTTGGGTATGTTCAGTAGAAAAAGATAAATAATTACTATAAATTATATGAACCATGAACCATGCATCAGAACTTACTCAAAATAACTAATATTTCCTTCTCCAAGAATAACATCTGAATCAACAAAATTACTTTAATTTGTTAGTACATTTTATTTATGGAATTAATTAATCTAATAATGTCAGAAATTGTTTATAACTAAATCTTGTAACCAAAAAAAATTTATAGGCCTATCACCAAAAAAAAAAAATTTATAGGCCTCGTAAAGTCATATTCGATGTACAACAACAAAGTTTTAACTCAAAGCGCAATTTTAATTGACTCTTCAATTAATAATTAAGCTGTTCAAAATTTTGCCAACAAACAACAAAGAATCGCTGATGTATTATATGTAAATACAATGGGATAAAAAATACTACCTTCAGTCCTTAATATAAGATCTAGTTTGATATTCAATTCGATCCTAAATATAAGTCTTCAATCTACTTTGTCTCTCATATTTATTTATTTTTTTAAGTTAGTTCTTATAGTAGTTACATGTGTTAAATATGTTATTAAATAGTAGATCTAGCCAATACACATTATTAGTAAGAATATTTTGAAGAAGACAAAACCTATTAGAGATAATAAATTTGCCGGTCCTTATAATTTTATCAAATTTTAAATAAGGTCATTGTAAATTTTTTCTTTTTATTGAATCCCGACCGTTTAATTAGTTTGGACAGGAGTCCTTGTACCATTAACTCCGGCAATTTGTGCAACGTGGCATCTTCTTTCCTAGCTTCTCTCCTCTCTCTCCCCGCTCCTTATTACGTGCCCCCTTTTCCAACCACACCCTCACTCTACGTCCAATTCGGAATCTCTCCTATTCTTTTTATAATCATTAGATTATTTATTTTAACAGTTCAGATTTTAATTTTTAGAATTAAATTTTAATAGAGTTTGTGATTTACTATTTATTTATTTTTATAATTTAATATTTTAATAACAGTTTTAATAAAATTTAAATCTCAACCGTTAATATGTTAATCCAATAGATAGAAAAAGAAGAGAAGGGAAGAGGATGAAAAGAAAAGAGGAGACGTTCTGAACCACTCTACGCCTTCTTCCTCACTCCCCTCCCATTCTCACTCTCTCTCCTTTCTTTTTCTCTCTAACACTTTCAGGGCAATGAAGAAGAATAGGAGGGTACAAGGGACTGATGCGTTTCCAGTAATCACCATGCAGCTTTGACATGAATCCCATTCCTTCAAACCCCCTCTTTTTATTACTAATTAAGCATGTTTTTCAATGACGCAATTACAAAGTGACAGCGTAATTTGTGTAAGGGACGAAACTTTGAGACAACATAAAAGGAGATGGAGAGCACACATTATTGTCATTATCACATGGTCCCTTCTACCCTCGTCCTATTCTTCTCCATCGCCATGAAAGCAGTAGAGAGAGAATGGAAGGAGAGAGAGTGAGAATGGGGGGTTTGGGGGGGGGGAGGAAGAAGGCCGAAGGGTGGGGGGTGTGGCTGGAAAAGGGGAATGTAAATTAAAGTAGATTGGATTGGGGGGGGGGGGGGTGAGAAAGCCAACGGAGTCAATGACCGAAGAATTTCTATTCAAACTGAGTATACAAAAACGAAGAAAAAAAAAGGGAAATTAATTTGAAGATCCTTATAGTTTTCATCAATTTTAAATTAGGTCCTTATACTTTTTTTTCTTTTTATTAAGTCCTTTAATTTTTTACTGTTACATTAGTTAATCCTTACCGTTAAATCACTATTAACACGGTTAAGATTTCCGTTAGGACGTCCGAGACATCTCCTTCACCATCTAGCCTGACCCGTTTCCTCCAACCATCTCTTGCCCAGTTGACAACACCTCCACCCTCTTCCGTTCACACCACCACACTATCTCTCTCTTCTCTTTCGACATCGAAAAGTTGAGTCCCTAATCTGAAATTCTGGCACAGAAGTTTATGCCGATGAGGATGTTCGACAACTTGACACAACCATGAATTATGCTTTGTGCAACCACTTCCTGCAAATATCCAAACCCTCTTTGTGCTCCTGCTGTGAATTCTCAACCTCTTTGTCTTATGCAAAAGTGAAACCTACTTGGCTTTGATGCAGATACAATTACAGGCTTACCCAATTCACTCACTATGATTCTCTCGTCGGCTTCTTGTGAGGAACCCATGATGGGAACTATGATGGGGTGTTGTGCTGATGAGAGCTGTTTTACCGTAGAGGAGAACACGAATCCTACGTAGCTCAGAACAAGCCAACAGTGAATCCTTTTGACCGCTACGGTTTCTTCTTTGTCTGAGTAACCTTGCGTACGAAGTTTCGAGTCAGCCCTTGTCGACGATTCTCCAATGGTTGAAACCTCTGTTTTGGCGTCGATGTTGTTGGGTATGAACAAGCACAGATTTTTACAGGCAGTGCTTCTTTGGATTCTGCTGTAGTTTTCTTTTTGCAGGCAAGGAAGACGATTATGGCGAGAATGACAGGGGATATTGATAGACCAAGCAAAGACCAAATCAACTAGCTACTATATTATCAGGACCTGATTCAAAACTTAATAAAATTATAAGAACCGCCAAATATATTATCCCTATTGAGCAATTTTTTTAATCTATTAAAATTAATCAACTAGCTACTATATAAAAACTCAGAGGTATCATTTGGGTGCCAAAAGTCAAAGAGATCCGCTGCCACAAAAATTACATGGCCTAATTATTTAATAGGGAAAACTAATCCCCAAGTCCTTATACTTTACATCAATTTTGAATTAGGTCCCCATAGATTGATTTGTTTGAATTGGGTCCTCACACTTAGGTTCGTTAAGCACGTTGGTCCTTCAGCATTTAACACCGTTAATGAATGAGTTGGCTGCTGACTGTGCTGCCATTTGAATTAAAAAAATATGAGCTGTCATCCTTCCACTACTGAATAAACAAAATATCTACAAACATCGATATTGACTGGTACAAAAAAAATTAAAAAATGCCCGCCGCTTTGCTATAACCTCACCGCCGACATCCGGAACATCATTCCTAGGAGCAAGCATCCCTTGTATTCGTCTTCTAGGATGAAACTCGGGAAATTAACAGTGTCAAAGCAATTAAAGTATAAAAGAGAAAGATAGAACCCTCGTCTGCTACTGATCTACCCAGCACCTCCCTTCCTCCATCAGGACCATACAATCAACACGTCCTGGATCTGCCAACATAGAAGCTGTGAGTTTGGGTTTTGATGGGTCTTGGGCTCGAAAAGAAGAATAGATATATGCAACTCTTGAATAATTTTCACTTTAAATATGTAAGGGTCATGATTTCTGAACAATGGTTGTGTTGGTCGATATTTTCAATGGTGGTTTTGATGAACAGGACAAAAGAGGACAAACATGAGTACCTGAGGTCTGAGTAATAGGAAGGTGTAAAATTTACAAAAAAAGGGGGGGCAACATCTTGGGCTCAATACAAAAATTAAAGAACAAAAGAAATTATGGCCTTCCCCTCTGCTGTCGTGAAGCTAAAGAAGACGGATTTAGTGGGTTTAAGGGAGTACTGTGCTCAATAAGAAATGTCAGTTCACTCTTGCTCATGATTTTGCTATATGGCTTGGTGTATGGCTAGCCTGATTCTCCAGATTTCGTCCTAGGATCTGAACACGAGGAGCGATGCTTGTTTGGCATTCATGATCTCGGCGGCGATGTTACAGTAAAGATGACGGCGAAGATATGGACCTTATCTTGGGCGTTCATGATATATATTTTTTTTATGCACAAGGAGGGAAACAAGTCGCGGCTTATGTGGATAAATATATTCAGCCAACTAAGCTAATATTAACGGTGTTAGGGGTTCAGGGACCAACAGTTTAACAAACTTAAGTGTGAGGGTCTAATTCAAAGAAACTAATCTAATCTATAAGGACCTAATTCAAAATTAATATAAAGTATAAGGACTTCAGGATTAATTTTCCCTATTTAATAACCATGATTATATTGAGTAATATGAATATCCGTTTGCTGACTAATTAATTTATATATTATGAAAATAGCAGTCTATAATAATGTTGAAAGAACACTCGATTCCCATTATAAATAGGGCCTAAACCTGCAAAGTAACTAATCACACACCAATCTGCTCTCTTTATCTCTTTCATTTCAATCCATTATGGCTCCGCCTGCTGTGACCAATGATTCAAACCAGAAATACGACAGAATGAAAGAGGTGAAGCAATTTGATGAGTCCAAGGCCGGAGTTAAAGGCCTTGTTGACGCCGGCATCACCACCGTCCCCGCCATGTTCGTTAACCCACCGGAAGTCTTGGCCACCCTCACACCCTCTCCCTTCACCGGCACAGAAATCCCAACCATAAACCTTGCCGGCATGGACTCCCCGGACCGTCGCGGTGCCGTGGTGGAGCAGGTCAAGCGTGCAGCCTCCACCGTGGGCTTCTTCCAGGTTATCAACCATGGTATCCCCCTTGAAGTTCTAGACCGGGCCATCGCTGCCGTTAAGGCCGTCCATGAGCTGCCAGCGGAGGTCAAGGCTCCACTCTTTAAGAAAGAAATAGAGGGAGTGTCTCTCAGGTCAAACATGGACTTGTACCTTGCAAAAGCTGCATACTGGAGGGACTCACTTATGATACAGTTCGGGCCAGTTCCGATCGACCCGGCGGACATCCCGGAGGTGTGTCGGGATCGGCTGATTGATTACAACGAGAGAACACTTCCGGTAAAGGATCTGCTGCTGGAACTGTTGAGTGAAGGGTTAGGGTTAAGCAGAGGAAGGTTTAAGGAGCTGACATTTGGAGAAGCGGTGACTCTGTCGGGTCACTACTACCCCTATTGCCCTCAACCGGACCTCACGATCGGGTTCCGGTCGCATACCGACCTGGGCATCTTGACGTTGGTGCTGCAGGACAACATGGGTGGGCTTCAGGTGAAGTACGAGGAAGGTTGGGTTGACGTGAAACCAGTTCGTGAAGCTCTAGTGGTCAACATTGGAGATTTGCTTCAGGTATATTTACACACACACACTCAACTTTCCTTTACTATACGTTAGAAAACAGATTCTCAATGATAATTTGATCAGGTGCAGTTCAAAATATATGTGTGTGTATATATATAAATGAGCAAATTAAATTAAGTTCGATTTAGCATATATAAAAAGTGTGCTTGAAATAAAACTTCTCTATCGGCATATCAAGATGATTAAATATTGGTCAAATGTGTCAGCAAAGGTGGTTTCATTTGGTAAGGAGTTAGCCCCACAAAGTTGAGTTGAAATTTTATTATATCATAATTTTGTTGGCAGACGATTTGTCTAGTCTGGAGGTATATGATCTGACTACTGTGATTTACCAAAACTAAGCTTACGTTATATCAAGAGTCTAGGTTTATGTAGAGATATAATATAGGATACATACATATACATAATACATACGTGTATATATATGTAATGAAATTTGAAATGGTGATTAATCAATTGGACAGATAGTGTCGAACGAGAAATACAGGAGCGTGGATCACAGGGTGCTGGCAAGTAATTCTCTGGAGGCAAGAGTTTCGATAGCGACGTTCTTCAACCCGGGAGCTGCAGAGAATGTGTATGGGCCACTGGAGGAGCTGACGTCAGCAGGGGACCCACCTCGCTACCGACGTGTCACCTATAAGGATTACTTGCACAGGTTCTTCAGCAAGGAGATCGACGGCACCTCTCAAACTGATTACTTCAGAATCCCGCATGATCATCCAATCACTGATTAATTTCAGATTAATGCGCACATATATATACATATAGATCATAGTTAAGGAATAAAGTCAGTTGGATTGCTTGTTCTTTAAGTTTTTCCAGTGTTTTCGTTTTTGATCCTCCCAATCAGCTAGGTATGTGTCTGTGTTACACTTTTTTCCCTGGTGTTAGCATCTTGCACGTTGTGCAAGTTTGCTTCCCTTGTTTTTTTTTTTTTTTATAAATGTATGAGCTTGCTTGTCTCCACTTCTATTAATAATTAAATAAAGAGTTAAAGTTTAATTTTGCCTTGAAAGTTTTTCGTTTAGGAGCGCTACGTATCCGGATGGTTTCTGTGGAGAAATATTGCCCTGAAAGTATAAAAATAGTAGCAATATTACATCCATCTCACTCTGTCCCTTCCTTTGTCTCCTGCAATTTTCTGGCGCTTATCACAGCAAGCATGCCTGAATTAATTTTTAATTATTTAATTTTGTTAATCATTCCATTAACTGGGCTTAATTAAACCACCATTAATCTTGAAAGAATTCTCAGACTCGAACTAGATATTGCCAACAATCTTAGAGATGTGCGTATATATAGTGCATATGCATCTTTTTAATCATCCAAATGTACAGTATTAAGGTAACTAAAATCCCTAGAATATTAACCATTTGGTTACCAAAAAAGAGAAAAGAGTGTATTGGAAATTTGGCATATTAATCTTTTGATTCATTAAGATCGTTAAAACTAAAAGGGAAAACATATATAATATAATGTGCCTAAAATCTTTATCATAGCCGAAAATGATAGACATGGTTGCAAGGATCAATATAATCCTTGGCACATATTTAATCACAATTTTCAATTGTGAAGTTGATTGAAATCATAGTCCAAAATTTTCGATGAGCTAATTAATGATCAATATAATCCCATGTGGCATGAAGGGTGACACATACCTTTGACAAACCATAACTTTAATAGTATTAATTAGTGAATCAAGTAGTTGTCGTGAGGCCAAAATTGATGAATATCGGTGGTCAGAAGACAATCTTTTCACTCTTTGATAGTAATTATATCATGATTCAAAGATATGACCTGGCCTCTAGAAGAATTGAGACGTATACGAATTCTTTATAGGAATTCAAAATACCGTTAATTCCATATATTTATATATAATATTTGCAGCTATAGCAATCAATTTCGAAAATCATATTAATATATTTAAAGAGAGTGACAGACAACTATATATGAAAATTTTATGTTTTACATACATCTTTATATACTCATTATCTTTTTTCCTGTTTTCAATTTTTAAATCTAAACCGTTTGAAGCTAATAAAAAGTGCAGGAAAGAGGACAATAAGAGAAGTGAAGAAGTCTCCTTCCCAGCTACTACTGTGAACATAGAAGTCTAGATTGCTTGGTCAGTTTCATAATTTTAAGGTGAAATGAAATGTGAGACAAGGCCGTGATCACTGTGTGTGTTTGTGGTATAAGCTACCTTTTTTTTCCCTAAAATTCACGAGGTTGTATATAGTATAGAGAATATACAAAGGATGGAAGAATAGAACGAGTTTAGGTCAAAGTTGAACATAGTATTTTTTTTTTTCCTTTTTGTATAACTTAGAGTACTCTTAAGTCATTTTGAGTTTGTGACTAATCTTTATCGGGTAGGAAGCGTTAAGATTAAAGCCTTTCCAATAAGTGCGTGTCTCAAAATTTAAATTTTTATTCCCCTCCTTACGGGAGGTGAGAGTGCTTATAGTCTCAATCAACAGTTTTTTGGTGCATATAGTATCCTTTTATTCCTCTTTGTGAACCTTTAATTTGACCTTTGGTGTAGGTAGTAGTTGAGGTCTTCATTTTTTGTCTGGTTAACTTTCTTTTAAGTTCGCGTTTGCCTATGATGGTCTCTTACATATGTGGCTATTTATCTGTATTTCTCTTTTTTAATAATTGGTAATTTTATCTTTAAAAAAGTTTTTGAATTCCAACAGAGTATGACCTTTCAGGTTTAAGTCATACAAAATTCTCATCAATTCTGCAGCCAGCGCATGTGAACCAATTAGTTATAGGTATGTTTCATTGAAGTCTATCCACGTTTATCTGTATTAATTAATTATTAAATCAAGATGTTTTTGAGAAATAAATACCACTCCTCCGGTCCTTAATATAGGACCCATTTAACTAATTTGATTAGATTAAGGAAGTTAGGTAAGTTAGTTAATTATAAAAATTATGACATGTTTTTCCTAAAGTACCATAATTATCTTTCTTAATACCCCTCTCTATCTTCTACTTGATTATAGTTGATGGAGTATCTATAGGGGTAATTTAGAGAAAATTGATAAATATGAGAAATGGGTCTTATATTTAGGACCAAAACCAACTTAGCAATTGGGTCCTATATTAAGGACCGGAGGAGTATCTTCGATCCTTAATATGAGAGCTAGATTACTAACTTGTGAATATTAGTTAAGTTAGTTATTTATAATAAATAGATGTTGTCTTATCTAAAATATCTCATTAATCCTGTGTGTTGTAAATGCCCTCTTTAATATGTACAATTATCATAGAGATTACTTATGAGCAAAATGAATAAATATTAGAGATAAAATAGATTGGAGACTTATATTTAAAATCAAATTGAATCTCTAATATAGCTAGAGGTAGTATATTTTTTCTTTTGCCATTCGGTATGCATTGTGAAGTTCCAGTCTTGTAGTCTGGTCAATTTGTTAAGATAAAAGTTTCAAAGAACATCGTAAATTGTTTAATTCATAATGAACCTGAAAACATGACTTTTATATCATCTCGACAGACTTTTTCCAAGTACTTTGGTGGACTTTTACTTCATATCATCTACTTGAAATATTAAATTAACTTTACATTGAGATATTAATTAAAAAATCATTGATTGTTTACTAATATTAATATGACATTAGAATATACCGTAGAAGAAAAATATATTTCCTATTTCAAAGAAAAAAAATTAAGAATTATAACCGATCAAATCCAATCGGCAATCCATTTGACTTTTTTAATTTGTTATCCTTTAGCGTTTGACCGATCTTATTTTTTCCCCCCAATTAATTCTCACAGAGTCACTAATCTGAAAAGATTTAAACTGACTGAGACAACAATTAATCGATTTTAGGGTTAATACTATATTGCCAGATTTCTATCCAATTCTGCTGACTCACGTTCGGATTGATTTTGAAAACCTAACGAAAAACAATATTTATTCATATCATTGTGATACCAAAATAGCTTAAATTATTTTGACGGAGTCCCTTCAAATTTATATACCTTTGATTTATTCTTTAATTACATGTATTAATAATGCAACTTTTGATGGTTATCTAAGCCATCAACGGTAACGTATTCAACTGTACTTAATGTAATTCCTAATTAACTAATTTGAGTACATTAAGAATAGTAGTTAAATTGGTTAATATGATATGCTTTTTCTAAAATACCCTAATCATCTTCCTTAATTCTCTTTTTCCCTCCTTCCTACTTGATTATTATTGGGAAATATTAATAGGGTTAATTTGGAAAAAAATTGATAAACATATAAAATATGTTTTACATATAGAATCAACATCAACTCTCCAATTATATTCTATATTAAGTACTAGAGGAGTATCACCTGCTGCATGACATTGAGGTCTATTTAAGACCCTATCAATCCTTAATCTTCAGAGCACAAAAGGAGGATGAATAATCTTTGACGAGTAAGTGCCTGTTTGGATTAGCGATTGGAAAAGCAGCTTACAGAAAAAGTAACTTATGGAAAAGTGAAGTTGGTAAAAGTTAAATTGGATAAGCTGAATTGTGTTTGGATTGGAGTTCAGAAAAGTCAGTTTGCAAAAGTGAGATTGGTAAAAACTTGTTTGGATTATAGTTGAGTAAAAGTAAGTTTGACTAAAAAATTACCAAAACGGGTATGAGTTGTAATAAATAATAAAACATGATAAAAAAATTAATTTCAAATAATACAATAAAATTAAAATAAATTAATATGAAGAAATTAAATTTAATGAGTGGATTAAATTTTAAAATTTTAAAAAAATCATAAAAAATATTTTAAATATTTTAAGGAGGCACGAAAGAAAGACTAGAAAAGGAGGAAGGTCACGGGCAGAAAAAAGGCAGAAAAAGAAACGAATAAAAAAATGGAGAGAGAACTGACAAAAAATATAACGGTCTAGAGAGCTTTGTGATCAGGTGTTGCAATTTCAAAAAGCTTCTCCACAGAGCTTAACAGATCGGACGGTGCAATTTAATTTTTGGTGGATAAGCTGGATGGCCCAAACGCTGATCCAAACTGCCTTCAATATGCAATCGGGCTTATTATAGCTTTTCATCAGCGTTTGGCCCATAAAACGCTCTCCCAAACAGGCTCTAACATTGAGATTACTGGTATCTTTGGAGGACAAAAACGTCAAGTCACCCAAACGTGACTTGCATGCATAACTCGCAAATTTATAGATCATATAAGACCGGATTAAACTCTATTAACAAATATTTATGTCAGATTGAGTGTTACTAGCTTTCACGAAATTCTGTTTCTTTCATTCTGACCTGCTCCAAACCATTCTTCCATTTCATCATCATCAGTAAAATAAGATCCTTTATTAATCTGCTCATCAGAAGACCAGAACTCGTCTTCACTCTCTGTTGCCATCTCCATGGAGCTTTTGCTCATCTTCAGCATCTCCTTCTTCCATGCTTCTATTTTCTGGGGACTCTTTGACAATTCACTCCTACCTCCAGCTATTGGAAAATTGTCAAATTGAGAATGAGGAGTACCATCCCGAGAACAGAACCGTTGATCATTTTCATCCCTATCTTCCACAAATCTCCACTCACCTGAACTTTTTCTCCTGTTCTTTCTTTCATTTATGGAAATTGTTTGGATCATTATCGTTCACTTGATTCCTGCATAAAATTAACCGGTTGCTCTTGCGGCAGTCTTGATCTTCAGTATGTGATTGATGAGAAGAGTCTGAAGCATTAGATGCCTTTGGCCTTCTGTGATCACATTTTAGGCAGATCATGTTTCTCCTGAAATTAATGTAGTTGCACCTACACAAACCAGATTCAAATTGCTTCAACACAAAGAAAATGTACGCAATCATATAAACAATAAATATGGCCAACACAAAATCTGATGTGTGTGTAGCATGAACCTACGATTCACATTCCCACTCCCCTGGATTGAGCTGCCGCTTTGGAGGTTTCTCTTTGCAAAGGAAACATCTTGTATTCCTAGCGAAATTGATGAAGTTACATCTGCAGAAATGACATTAATGGTGTGAGTTAGAAATAGTAGTAATATTCATATAAATCCAGAAAACATGGGCTTCCATTACTTATCGCATATCCAGTCCCCCTTCTTCATTGGCAGATGCTCCTGATCCTTCTGTAATTGCCTTATTCTTTCTTCGAATAAGCTGTCACAGCTCAAGCACTTAATATTTCGGGCGAAGTTGAGGAAATTGCATCTAGACAATGAAAGGCAAGAAATAAATGTGAACAATGGTAGCAGGAAAAAAAAGAAGAAGAAGACAATGCATGCCAGAAAGTACTGGAGGGATGTAATCAAGCTACTTGGGACAAAGCCAGTCTCCTTGCTTCATTGGGACTTTTATATTGCCCTTGCCTTGTGGATTGAGATTAACCCTATCAGTGGAATTGGAGAGATTAGAATCATCCTCTTTAATGCTGCGCTCCACCAGTTCTCGCAGCAGTCTTCTCACTGATTCTTTTATCATTTTAGTCAGACATGGTTTGTTCTCAACTGAACCAATAATTGGATCAAGTCCGTAAGTCAAGATTATGCGCATTAAATCCACTGTCCTTCCTCCTTCGTCTTCACGTGCCTTCACAAATGCCCTTTCACACTCTCCCCTCAAATTGCAGCTGCTGCACACCTAGTTAAAGCAACAATTTATGTAACTCTTGGTTATTATTAAGGTGTCAATAGTCAGTTAATTTTAAAGAAAGAAAAGAAATAGCAGAATATTGAAGAAATGGATCAGCATCAATAAAATCTTGCTCAGCACATACATTTCCCTCGTCGATGCCCACATGTGCTCTGAGACGCTTCCCTGAGTTCACGACCTTCCTATCTAAGCTCGGGCATCCTTGTCCTACAATAACTTGGACATCCTTTCGAGACAAGTGCCTAATAGCAAAGACAACCGAAAAAAAAAGTAATTACTTCCAATGGCATCATACTCATGATATGCTTGGGAGTGGATCATTCTCGTGTATATATTGTTATTTCTAATGACAGAAATTTGCTCTGGACATGGTTTCAAGACAGGGATGAGCTTTAATAACAAGTCAGTACATTATATTACATGCACTTTATAATCTTTGAAACTAAAACTTCCCGTCTCTCAGCTCTGTCTTTTTCTTCTTCCTCTCAACAAGAAAAGACATGCAACAGTCATTTAGAAAGTTTGTCCCGATGACCTAAAGACTCACGTAGGGTAAGAAGTCATAGACTAGAGATAATACACTCCAGCATCCAGCAGTCAACGTAACAGTTTTTTCTGTTACAAGTCACAGAAACCTAAACTCAAACACCTTGCCTGCACTCTCCATTGAACGCATATTCCAGGAACTGGCCACGCTAATATGAGAAGCAAACATTCTGTAAACCCAATAAACGAAGAAATCGAAGCTCAAATAAATCGAGATTATATACTTCGTAGATGATCAAACTCTTCCTGCAGCCACAACAACTTAAAATTGGACTAATAAGCAAATTTTGCACAAAACTTAGAGTCTACAGCTTTAGCAGAAATATAAATTAGATGAAGTGGCACGTACAAAACGAGCTAGTATCGATTGCCCAAGAAGTATTAAAAATGAACTCCTAAAAAAGTCATTTTTACCTTAAAAGACCAAATCGATCTCGACCGAAATTCAAGCACGCTGTCCTAATGATGTTTGATTCCTTAGAACTCAATTCACCACTTCTAAATGGGTTTCCCTCTGCATCAAAGTAACCTCTCTTAATCAAGTACTCCATCAAGTCCACCCATTCAGGCCAAGGATGTGAAATCTGAACCGCAGATAATTCTTGTTTCTCGGGAACATCCTTATCGGAGAAATCTTCGGAATCTGATGCTGAATGCCATGATGATCCATTCTTGGCTTTAGAAGATTGGAGCTCCTCAACCTCGTTCAAGAAGTACTCTAGCTTCGAATCAGGAGCTAGAGTCTTCGTGAGGCTGTGAAAGAGAGAACTGGGCGAGTAAACTTTGCAGCCCCTGAGGTGAGTCTTAAGATTGTGATTGAAACACGACGAAAAACCCCGGAACATGTTCTTGTTCATCCAGAAATGAGAACAAGCGGGAAATTTTAGACTGCTTGGCTCATTCTCGTACGTATTTTGAAGGCTTAACGGTCCGCTCAGGAATCAGAATGCGAGTGAAATTTTAAATCAGAGTCAAATAAGTCCTAGGTCTTGACGTGAGATGTTATACTTGCGGGTAAATTTTTCCACCTGCACCTCTTTGGGCTTTTTAGCCCAGATTCCCCCAAAAACAAAAACCTGAACCCGAAGTCCGATACCTCACACAAGTACACATCCGATGACCCGAATAGAAATTGCAACCTCCGACGCCCCACCCGCCTCTCCCGAACTTCAGAGGGAAACAGGCGAGACAGGCCCCCCATAGGGCGGAAGACAGCTGACTGTGATTCCATTATTCAAAGACGAACCAAGAGCAATTCGTCGAAACCTTCGTCCTCATTGTAAGATTTTCCTTTCGTTCTGGGCCTGATTCTCTATTTCATGGAGTTTGCTGTCAAATGTTCATGGCTGGACAAATGGAGATTCCTGTAAAGTGCTTGCCTCTCGGAAGTGAGAGGGATAGAATGATAGGAGAGAGTGAATGAAAATATAGGAAGCGTGCTGATATATGTTCTCATTCATTCATTTTATTGTATCACTGTCTACTTTACTGCAGAAGCACCTAACTTAAGAAGATGATTCAAATTTATCTAAATCTTGGTTGGTTCTTTATACTTTGTCTGGGTCCTCGGCCTTGTGCTTGTCTGAAATTCACTGTGAATTGAGATGAATATCTTGGGTCTAACTTCTCCGGTGCTGGCTTAAATTTCATATAAAACCTGGTAGTTTTTTCCTTCTTCATGAGGTTCAAGCATAAGTGATATTATTATTATGTTGTAAATCATAAGCTCTGCAATTTCAGGCATTTTAGTATACTAAAAAAGTGCAAAATTTTCTAATAGAATATTGATTTTTCCCCCCCTGATAAGAAAATTTATATATTCCAGGTTTCCAGTCAACCTGATTTTACCTATTAATTCCTATGGATTTGATGAAAATATTGACATTTTGCTTTATTTGTTTTCAATGGCATACTGGTGCTGCGTAATAACAGCAATGGCAATGAGACTTGCAATGCTTAAAAACACAGGAGGCAAAATTGGTAACATGTTAGGAATCAAAAGGTGGACGCATTCCAATCCCCAACCACCACCTTTATCTGGAATTATTAACCATGGGGTTTCTTCACCTCAATGTGTTTTGCCTGAGCTTAGTTTCCCAAGTTTCTCTTTTAATGGATCTATGGAGCTCATGGCTGTCCCGAAAAAGAAGGTACCTTTTCAACTTATCTTTCATTTACCTTTTCTTTTTCATCATTCACACTTCGCTATCTCTCTGTTTCATTGATTTCACCACCTTGAATCGTAGCCAATTTATGATAGAAGCATCGTGTGTAATGTGAAATTGGTGCAATTTTCTTAATCTCTATGATGTTCTATAATTTCTTTTTTGGACTTAAATTTCTGGCCTTGTCTATCATGTAGGTTTCTCGCCATAAAAGAGGAATAAGAAATGGACCAAAAGCTCTAAAACCCATTCCCGTAATAGTCCGATGCAGGTAAAGCTTTAGGCTTTTACTCCAATGATGCTATCTGAGCTGTGGATACTATAGTTTATGGTTTTGGAAATGTGTCATTATTCTCATCATTAATCCTTAAATGTAACAAATTCCCTGAATGCTGCGTTTGTGCTTTTATACAGTTTCTATAATAGTTTCATTTTGGTGTCATGCTTCTTCTGAATTACTTAATCTTGCTTGGACGATAGAATGACGTACAATTTGTGGTTCTCTTCCTTACCCTTTCATTCCATTTCACGCCTTGACAAAGTCCTGAGCATAGCTTTAAGCATTTGTGAGAGGTTTGGTCTGCAGAAATTACTATTGTTAATGCTGTTTATGCTCTGCTTACGATGAATCCATCTGTTTTCTGTTTCCAGAAGACCAATAAATAAAGTGCGAGGTTTTCTGGAATTTTTTTTGGCCAAACGTGGTTTTCTGATTCAGCTGCGAATAATTCTTTACTTATTTGTTTTTGCAGAAGTTGTGGCCGTGTCAAGCTTCCACATTTCTTCTGTTGCAGTGGGAATAGGATTAATGGTGGTGACCAAAATGGTTCAACCAATTGATCACATCCTTTACTTTTGAAGCATCATATCGCGGTCTTGAAACTTTCTCCAATCCTAAACCATACCAACCTGAGCTTTAATCTTAATCTCTACAGAGTCGTTACAACCAGTTGTAAAACCAACCAAAGCCAAACCTGGCTTTAAAACCCTTGCTCCATTCTCTCTGCTTTTCTAGTTCACTCTCTAGATTGTTCGAATCAAAGTTCTACCTTCTAGATTTACTTATGTATTTTTCTTGAGTTTTAAGTTTTCAAAATATTAAATCTGAATCATTGAAATTTAGTCTGAACAGTTTAGATAGTAAGTAATGAAGAGAAAGAGCATGTGAGAAGATAGGGTATTATATTTGGCCTCCCCTTTCTTGGTAAAGACCGTTTTTGTATGTCGTCTTCTTCTCAAGCGAGAAGTGGTGAATATGGTGCCGTTTTATGCCTATATATATATAAATTTATTTACGGATTTGCGTACTGGGTTCCCCATGGCCTTCCGGTGATCACTCATTGAATGTTGCCAGCTTGCTGCGGGTTCGAACCCCGGTACCATATATATGTGCGTGTATGTGTGTGTGTATCTATATATTCTCAGCCATGAGGTACTTCAAAGTACCTCCCTTTTGGGCCAGTTCGTAGACTTTATCTCAGATGGGAAGAATAATTTTTTAATATTAATTATGCATAAAAACTCCGATTTGTGGTGATGATAAAAATAGTGGCCTGTATGGTTAGCTGTGACTAATAAGTTGGTTTTGGTTAAACTGAAATTAAATGTATATAGCATCTTGTCCTAAGAATAAGCATCAAAAGTGAAACAGTGAGGTAGGAGGACCTTCAAAATGTTTGAACGGCGGAGAGTTGTTGGCATTCGAATAGATGATGGGTGTTAGTTTGTTCGAGGATCTCATTATGTTCATTTTATGCGGAGAGGCGGCTGCCGATTTCACCTGTGGCCTTCTGGGTTTACAACCACGTTGAGTTATTCCAGTTGGTTACGGGATCGACTCCACGGTATTACTTCTTTAGGATTCAAGATGATGATGAATACGAATCATGAGGTACTGTAAAGTACCTTCCTTTTTGGCACCGCTTCCATTGTTCTCCCTTTCTTCAAAACCTGAGCAAGTTTTCCTTTTGTTACGTATAACGATCCTCTTATTTAAGACATGGCTGAAAATTAAATATAAGCATCTCTTATTTAAACTTTAGCTCGTTGTGATGAGGATTTAACTCCTTTCATTGGGCCTAATTTCATTGGTAAAAGGATAGAATAAAAAACTGAATTGGACTAGCCGTTTTAGACCAGAAACTGATGGACAGACATCAAGTTTGGTATGGTTTATAGCTTAAACTAAAAGGGTAGCGAACTTAGTTTGTCTTGATCCATTGTCTATGTAATTTTATTTGCACGCTTGCACATTGGCAGTCCCGGTGCCCTTGGTGATCCTGGCTGAGCGTATCTCCAGGCTGCGGGTTCAAATCCCAGTAGGTACGTCGCTTCTGGGGATGTGTCTACATATATACATATATATAGTTATACGCGCGCACACATATTTCCCATCATGAGGCATCTCTGTTCTGGGCCATCTCAGAAGCCAAGACGAATCTCTTTAACATTCATTTCTGTCAAGTTTGAATGGTTTACTGACTTTATTCAGAGAATTCGTTACGTTTAAATCAACATGTGGTTTTTTGTTTGAATTCTGGGTATGCATGGTTTTAATTACTCATCCGATAGCTAATATAAGATTTATTTAACTAGTTTGATTAAATTAAAAAAGTTAGGTAAGTTAGCTAATTATAAAAAAAAAATATAACATGCTTTTTTTAAAATACTATTATCATCTTTTTTAATATTTTCTCTCTCCCTTCTACTTGATTATGGTTAAGGGAGTATCTATAAAAGTAGTTTAGAAAAAATTGATAAATATAAAAAATAGGTATTATATTTAAGACTAAAATCAACTCAGCAATTATGTACTACTCCTCCGGTCCTAATTATAAGACCCAATTGACTTATTTGAGGAGATTAAGGAAGTAAGTTAAGTTGGTTATTTATAATAAATAAGTGTTGTCATTCCTAAAATATCCTTGCTAATTAAGTATATTGGCTAAAACTATCATTATTAGAAGGATTATCTTGGAAAAAAATGCATAAATATAAGAGACAAAATGGATTGGGTCTTATAATTAGGACCAAATAAAAAGTCAAATTGGGTCTTATAATAAGGACCGGAGGAGTATATTAAAAACCGGAGGAGTATTTTATTCAGAAGCAGCCCTTACGGGATTCGCCTGTGGCCTCCTCGTTAACCAGCTTCCTACAGATTCGAACTCAGGTACCACTCGTGTGTGACGACGACGACGACGATAATTGTGATTGTTTCCACCCATGAGGTGCTTTAAAGTGCCTCTCTTTTAAGACCCCTCTCCCAATTTCATTTACCATTATTTATAGAAATGAAGATATAAAGTGAATTACAAAATTCAAAGGCAAGTATGATTGCAAGCTCATGCATGTGGAAAGGATTCTTTTCAAATCCAGAAAGGGTATAATTAGAAATGAGACGAAAATTGTATTCATCTTTTAAACCCCACGTTTTGATGGCCAGACACAATTCCGAAGGAGGCCTATATGCGTTATGTTCAAACATGCACTTAGAGTAGTCAAATTACAAAGGCCAAAAGGAGTCCACCAAACCTTTATTATATTTGGTCAAAAGTTGAGTTTAACACGATTGATGTGTGTCAAATAATTTTGGAGTGATAAGATGCAATTATTCGAGTCTCAGATTAGTTTCAGAGCCGGAGAATCTTGGCATTAAGGAAAAGAACAACATATAGAACAAGACCAGTTCAAACAATTCTTATAAAAATTGACCTCAATTAAATCGGGTGCATGAATCAACACATGACGAACACATCAAAACCACATGCTTCCTAATTTGATGTTTTGTATTTTGTGATAATTAATGTTGGACATGCACTGCAAGATGTGTGTGAGAAAGAGAGAGTAAACGGATAAGCTTTGAATTCCTTAATTATAATCATTACTTAATTATATAATACAATGAAAGAGAAGAAAATCTTTAATATAAGTGCTATATGAAGTAGGTGTCATTTTCATGCATTTTTTGGTACAGGTATTCAGAAATTTGATTCCCACTTTTTTGTACTAAACAGAACTCAATTTGGTTCGAAATGCTATCAGACAATGAATACGGATATGTCTTCTAATGAGGATTTAAATTTTAATTTATCACGTTTTAAGATACTAGCCACTCCCACTAGATTCAAATCCATTAGGTAATTTGATTCCTAATTTTGAATCAATATAAAAGTAAATCCAACAAGTCAGTTTGTAAAACAAACATGTTAAATTTTAGAGTGGTAAAAAATTTGTCTTGATTCTTGTTTATGTTAATTTTTTCAAATTGAATGTTAAAATTTGTTTTATATTTGATTTAATAAACACTTGTGCTTCAGTTGGTGTTTCAAGCAATCATAAATTATATTTTTATTCTTGGTTTAATTTTATAGGAGTTTTGCCTTCTCATTTTGTTTATTGGAATACCTGAAACTTGGTAAATCTCTATTGGCCGATATCCTCCCCGTCGTTTCATTACGTGTCGATGTCGTGAGAACCCTTTCTCGCATTATCCAAAAGCGACATCTCATTGAGCGTAAACGGGAAACAGCACAGATGTGAAATTGGATGACTTTTCAATGGCATGAATACTAACTCATTTCCTAAATATAATAACTACTTAATTAATTTAAATAAATTAAAAATAAATTGAGTTAGTTATTTATAATAAATAAATATTTTTTTTTTTAAAATATTATTACTAATCAAGTGTATTAGTTAAAACTATTATTATTAAAAAAACTATCTTAAAAAATATATATATAAGAAATAAAATAAATTGAGATTTTATATTTATAATCAAAATTAAAATCAAATAAACTCGTATATTAAAAGCGAGAGGCAGTATTTATTTAATGTTAGTATCTTCCCATAATGCATAAAACAAAAAGGAGCTTCATCCACGTGTTTGGTCTCTTCTCAATCTAAATCTTCAGCAAATCCATATTTTAGTTTACTACAATAAAAAATTCTCTCAGTCATTTTCATCCTTTTACTCTCTTTTTGAATTAACTTTATCTCCCTTGAGCATGACTTTGAATCTAGTTAACGTCGTTTAAAGTTTCTGTTAATGTTGGTGAAGATTTTTTTTTCAAAAAAAAGTTTTGTTTGATGAGTAGTTAAGTCGTTAGATTAGATAACATTATTTATAATAATTTGGATTCAGGGATATATAATTATCCCTTCAGTCCTAGGAATATATAATCAGATTTGGGATTAATATTTTGCCTTTGAATAGCAGAATTAATTATTATTTGAGAAAGAATATACCTCCAGTAAAAAAATAAATAAATACATTTTCTTTTTATAAATGTATGACCAACTTCAGGTCAGGAAAAAAATATATATGGCCGACATTTGACAATCGTTGTTGAACTAATGATATTCTTTTAATTTATTTGAAAGATTAATATATTATTCTATTAACAATTATTTTATGCTGGGTTCTACATTTAAAAAACGAGTCATATTTATAGTTTTAAGGGATAATTACAATTAAATCCAAGAAAAAAAATTTAATTACTCTAAATTCTCGATAAAAAATAAGCAGTAAAAATCTTATTTCCTACGCAGAAACTTATCATTATATATTTTTTAGTTATCAGTAGATTTTAAGATAATTAAATATTTTTTACTGAGACTTAATTGTAATTCTTTTTAATATAGGGGCGTCTGTTTTGTTAGGTAGCCGACTCACAGATATGATTATTTTCCCTTCTTTACTCGCGCTCTCCCGTCATCCTGCTTCCGAGTTCCGCCCCCATTTTTTCTCAATATAATTTAGCTTTTTTATAAAATTTTTAAGAACTTGTTTGAAATGATTTAAAAATAACTTTTTAATAGTAATATATCAAATAAGTAAATATGCAAAGAAAATTTTATCTCAACTTGTATAAAATTGTTCATAAATCTTGTTCATCGTAGATACAACTAAACTCTAAATGAATTGAGCCTTTAAACTTATCACAGTTTATAGTGTGCTTTTAAAATTTAATGCGAAACAATATTTTATAAAGCATCCAATTTTAATATGAAATTTTTTAAAATTATACTTAGATAACTCTAAATTTTTTTATTGTACTTTAATATTTCGATAAAGTTGTCATATATAAATGATCTAAGTCTAATCTCATGGGTCAAATTAAAAAATTATGTACTGCACTTAAAGATGAAAATAATATAAAAACATATCATTTACTCTTGGGTTATTCCTTTCGATTTTTTAAAGAAATTTAAGTAAAAATATTTATATTTTTATAATCAAATTTTCATTACCAATGTTATTTCCAAAATTCAACATTATATGTGGATTTAACATCTGCGACAATTTAAAGTTATAAATATTATATATTCATTAAAAAATATATTAATAAATACTACCTGGTCCTTAATATAAGATCTTATTTGACTTTTATTTTGATCTTAAATATAAAATTCTAATCCATTTTGTCTCTCATATTTATCTATATTTTTTAAGATAATCCTTCTAATAATAGTAGTTCTAACCAATATGCTTGATTAGTGAAAATATTTTAGGACAGTACATATTTATTATAAATAACTAACTTAATTTATTTTTTTAATCTACTCAAATTAATCAACTAGCTTTTATATTTAAAATCAAAAATATTACCTCACAGCACCACATCTTATGCCACGCGCAAGGCAGTGGATCCGCTCCTGCTGACCTATATAACCATGCATGTTTTCCGAAAATAGGGCCATATACCATTCCTCATTCCTTATCTTCTCTCCCAGGTCCCACCTCTCCTACCATTTCTCTCGCGCAGAAATGGGGCAGAATCGCACCGCCACCTCCGCGGCCGCCGACACCGACGTTTTCACCGCATACTCCACCGCCACCAGTGAAACCACCTCCATCGACAAAAACAAGAAGGAGAAGCAGAGGATGAAGAATACCGGTGCCGGTGAAGAAGTAGATCGTCATGCCGCTGTTGCAGTTCACAGCCAAGTGATAAGGATTAAGCAAGAAATAGAGAAGCTGAAAGAGCCTTCGCCGGAAATTAGACGCCTCCTTCTCAGAAATATTAAGCGGCAGCGATCTCGGTCGCCGCTCGGAATCGCAGAGAGGGCCATCCTCGTCGGTAACACCTGAAAGTTTTTGAGTATATATGTATAGGTATAGTATGTATATATATATATGAGTATAGTGGGAGATTTCTACGGTGCTGATGATTTCTGGATGCTTTGTGCAGTAGTATTAACTGTTGAGATATTTTATATATCCATGTAACAGTTGATAGTTGAGTCGATCCAGAAAAGTATCGATGGATTGCCATAGAAGTCTCCTTGTATGTATATGTACAGGCTGTGTAAATATTACTATACGAGAAAACTTGCAGCTTATACTCCGAGAATTTCTTGTGTATGAGTGTTTTGTTCAACAGTTTTTAAGCTTTTGGTGGTTGTTTGATCTTGTTTCTATGCTGATTTTCTTTCTTTTCCGTTTATTTAATTTTCAGTTTTGTTTTTGTTTTTATGTTCCGTTACTAGGAGTCTCTGTTCTTGTGATGGCAAAGCGCAAAAGCTTCCTTCCCTTTTTTTTCCTTATCGGTTGAGATGTTTTCGTGTTCAATTGAGACCTTCGGACGATTTTCAAGTCTTTTTGCTTTTTATCTTCATATGCTCGCCAACACAATCTCAAATCATTTCCCCTCTTCACAATTCTACGAACCGCTTGGATGTATCTCAATTATTTTAGGATCACTACCTCTTTTCGAGCTCATGTTTTAATTTCTTTCAATAAAACCGTTGTAATTAAATATTATATAATAACAATCATAACAATATTTAGTTCCTCACTATATGTACTTTGATCTTAAATATAAAATTTATTTGTAGTACAATTTACATCACAAATTTTATATATGGTATAAATAATACCTGAAAATAATTTTTTTTCTTATTATTTCAACTAACAGCTTGAAATGATGAGAGGGAATGAACCTATGATCCCATGCTTATTGTGGAAGTTTTATGCCATCATGTCATAAGGATATTGGCACTGTGTGAAAATATATAGTTAAATCTCTTATTTGGAAATAACTACTCCTTTAATAAAGGGACTTTTCTTCCTCAATTATGAGGAACGTACTATATGAAAATAATTACGCCTTTAATATAGTTAAACCTCATTTTTTTTGTGAGTAAAAAATGAAAACATCTTTATCTATTATTTATTTATTTTAGGAGGTTTTCATTTTTTATTTTCTTCCCCTATTATTTATTTATAATATTGAATATTATCCAACAAAATTGTTAATACTATGATTCATTTTTAACACAAGAAGCCTATTCTTATTAAGATTATCTTCCGCTCTTCTCCGAATCTAATTTTAAGAACTTTTTTTTTTTTGCTCCAAAACAGAAAAAATAAGATAATTCTATTGTAGCATCAGCAAAAGTATCAAGGAGATCCCCCCTTCCAGGTGTTCCTTCAAGAGAAACACCCGAGACAGTTCTCTTGCGACAACGAGACACCAACCTAATCGAAAATGATTACCGAATATGCTAGTATCGTTCATTTTTCAACATGCACTTAAAACATTAATAAATATATTGTTGTTGTTTAATGTTTACAGATAGTAATGTGATCCGTTTTGGTTAAGTAGCTTGACCTACCAAAGTCGTGTATTTGGAAGGCAAAGATTATATGAAACACGCAACGTCAGTACAAAGCCCCGTTCATATGCCACATGTCCCAATTTATCATCTTACAAGGCCAAACACTTTCTAGACATCCAATGCCTGCCTGACACGTCCTGTGTAAATCCTGGCCAGTGGCCACAAAACAAAAAAGGAAATAACCATGTCTTTTCCTTTTCTTTTCAACTTATTTGTGATGATCAAGGGAAAAAGATTTATTTGTAAACTGCAAATAGAGAAAATGACAGCGGGGAAGGCACATGTCGTTGGTGGTTGCATGAAGGCTCCATGTAGCCACCTGTCACGCTGACGAGACTGCAATTTGTGACGCTCACTAACAATCATTGCAATTGCAAATACAGCAGATTCACTCATATTGCGCTCCACTGTACAAGTCATATTTAAATAGTTGGAAAAAAAAAACATATTTTTCACCTCTAAATATTATTAGGAGGTAGTTGAAATAGGTATTTAGATGCTAAGTAAGAAAACATTAATCTCCTGCATATTTGCAAGCAATCAATTAAAACGTTTTCTCATGTAAATGACTAAGAGAAAGAATATTTTAAGAAAATTAGCATACTTTTCTTTTTACTAATAACTAACTTATGAATTACTATCTTCCATCCCAGTTAGTTTGATATTTAATTTAATTCTAAATATAATATTCTAATTTATTTTGTTTTTCATATTTATCTATTTTTTTAAGATGTTTTTGTAATATTTGTAGATGTTAAATGTTTTATCAAATAATAGTTCTAGCTAATATACATGATTAATAAGAATATTTTTTAAAAAATCTATTTATTACAAATAACTAACTTAATTAATTTTCTTAATCTACTCAAATTAGTTAACTAATTTTTATATTAAAGTCCGGAGGTAATACTTAACTAACTTCTATATTTAACACCTGCGGAATATCAAAATAACCCCAAAAAAATTAAGCCAGCAATTAAATTAAATAATTATTCTTTACCCAGATATAAATTGCAGTTATGAGGTATCTTTCATACGGGACGTTTCTCTTTTTAAGATCGTTTGACATGTACGTCCAGGGCACATTTAATCTGAATTATTGGAGTCATATTCAAGAAAAGAAATAATGAGGGGAAAACACAATGATGCCAAAGGGCATTGAGAGATTAGTGCAGGATTAGAGGGAAATAAAAGAAGGAAATATTGCTCTTCATTCTTCAATCACTCGTCAAATGATGAGAAAGGGATATTTAACAAGGGATCCTATTGTTCTAAGGAATATTTAAGGGATAAGAGATTTTGCCATAAAATAGAGAAAAGAAGGTGACACAATACAAATAACTTTTCCAGTTAACAAACACCAGAAGTGAAAGCCACAGCAATCCCAGAGGGGAATGAATCTATCAAGAAGTACCTTCCAGAACAGACCAGCCAACCATATAAAAGAGTTGAACTTACATAGGGAGGATGATATTCATAAGAAACATCAACCCATTCCATGTGCCTTGGAGGATGATATTCGAAACAAGATGCAAAACAAAGCTCAATTTGGTGCTTCAACTTTCAGCAGTGGCTTTTTCTTTTGATGAGAGAAGCTTCACCCTCCTCGTCAGATCTCTCATCACATCTATAATCACAGATTTCTTTTGAATCCTGAACTGAATGGCTAGTTCAGTTGAACCAGAAGCAACCTGTTTCAATAATGACTCATCATCCATTATCTTGGTGGGGAAGTGTCCCAACGCAATGACACACAGAGCAATTGTTGTTCGCAGGGCTGCCACTTCATTTGCAATGCCAAGAGGAGCTTCAGCAGCTAGGGATTTGAGAGTGTTGAGGTCACAGTTCTGCACAGCCTCCATGTCACTCGCAAGAAGTACTCTCAGTGCTGCCAATAGGCGGCCATCTACTATTTCTAGACCACCTAAGCTTACCTGTAACAAAATAGAAAAGTTTAACATGTGCTTTCCAGTGACCAGATATTTTGAAAACAGACCATGCCTGGTCATTTGCTATGAAAAAATGAGCTGCACTGATATCAAACAGATGTTAAACACTCATTAAACAGAATTAACATTGAACTCATGTTAAACACTCACCTAACACTTTCAGTTATGGATATAAATAATGCATACAAACTATACATGTTATTGCGCATGGTCTTGTGACATTGAAAATAGTAAAGATATATAGAACCAACCTCAAGGGCTTTGGAAAATAGTCCCTCAACGTTTAATATGATAAATTAATCCCCTCATATTTTATAAAAAAATAATAATAATTAATTTGGGTTCATGAAGGATTGATTACTTTTGCAGATTTTTTGTTTCTAAAAACAAAAATTTTCACCTGTCAGCTTGAAATGTCAGGAATTAACCTCCTTTTCATGTGCTTGTTAATCAATGTAAGGCAGTTGGAACGTCTAGGCCTAGAATTATTGTAAACAAATTGAGTTACTAAAAACACCTTTCAAGTTGAAGTCGATGGTTCTATTTGGCGAAGACACGGTTGAGGAAGGTTGCATGAATTTTCTCCTTGAGCTGAGGCTCTGACAGTAACCAAGGCATGGTGGGATTTATTAGTTTATGGTTGTTAATGGGTCAGAGATGCAACTAATCTTCCTACAGCCCCAAAGATTTAAAGAATTTATCTACTAGAAAACACTAATCGAATCAAAGTTTCCAATATCAAACAAGTTGTTAGTGACCTCCCAACAATGCACAGGCAACAGAAATTATGAGACATTTTGTCACTGTCAAAAGGTTAAAAGAGAAAACTACGATGTAACTCTTGATACATCCCTGTATATAACGAGGCCAATAAATACTTGAATATTCAAACTCTAATAATTTGAAGGAACAAATAGAAAAATAATAGGGCAATATCAATGAGAATAAACCTTGAGATCAGGAGCTCCTCCAGCTAGATTTAGCTTACGTAAAACTTGTTCCTGCCATGAAGCGGGTGCTGAGAAGTTGGGAGAGGAAATCCCAGCGGCCATGCTTGCAGCATCCAAAAATGCACCATCATATTTGAGCTCAATACAGTCATAAGGATTTGAAGGTATCACAAATCCATAATCAAGAAGAAAAAAATCATTGCTTAAAAAGCCATAATTGAGTAATAAAGGATCATCTTGTTTGATTTCTGTATCAGCCACAACCTGAGGCAAAGGCATAGGGTTAGCCTGGAAAAGGAATATCGAGTTTTAATTCTTTTCTCAAAAACAAAAGGGCAAACTTACAAAGAAAAGAGAATGAGAGAACATGCCTTTACTTGCATCTTCGTTGCACTGGTATCCTTTTCCTGAACAATTCGGGCATTCGGATTAAAACTATGGTTGCACATATCAATTAGAGGAAGCATCATTGGTATGTCTGTGTGAGTCCCATCTGGACGCTTGTCACCATATAACCGGAATGCCCTAGATGAGACTGCTGACATTGCCCATCCAAGTGCAGATGCATCTACTTCTTGCCCACCAAAAGGATGCTTATCTGGTTTCAGATTGTCAAGGGTGCGCCCGCACTCTTGCTCAAAATCAAGAAGAAAACGACATCTTTTGTTTACCTGGCCACATGCAATTGGTTTTATGCAATATATAGACAGATACATGACATGGCAGGATTTCATCAATAGCTGTTCATCAAGAACTAAGAATTCACAAGGACACAACACAGATTCACTGACATAGTTACTCCGTGCACGTTCGTTCCATGTTTGCCCTTATATAATAAGGTATCATGATTAGAAAAATCTTATTTATGACACCCTCAATTAACGGCAATTTTGGAAAAACC